TGAATTAAAGTTGATGTGTTATGTAAGAATGATTGGTTTATAATATTTAATTATATAAATAATATAAATGATAGTGAAGTTGAGTTAAAATTGAGTTAGATTTTGAGTGTGAAATGAATTATTTCATAAACAAGCATGCCCTCAGCCCTTGTATGTATCTTATTTCAATTTGTTGTATTATGCGTGTTTCAATTAGAGTGCTTAAATTNGTGATATCCATGGCGCATTGATTGTCGCCGAGATTTTTAATGGTGAGTCGGGTTGTGATGATGGCTCTTTTTTTTTTTTTTTTTTTTTTTTTTTTTTCGCAACGATAGGAAATATTATATCACCAATGTACAAAAAATACAACCGGGAGCAAGCTGCTCAATATCGCAAAGCAATGGAGAACCACACAAACATCGGTGGCCTAGACTCAAAAAACACAAACTAGCAACACTAAGGCAACAACAAGTGTCACAACCCTTAGGATGCACCTACACCAACTAATACCAACTTAATCAAAAACAGCAACCCAACAGAAAACATCAAACTTAACAAATACATACACCAATAAGCAACCTATACAAAAACAGCAAACCCAACATAGTACATCAACCACACAGTCCAATCAAACATCACCACAAGAACATACAGACAAGCCTACAACAACAAACTAAAAAAAAACCAAGCTACACCAAATACAAATCACATAAAAAAAACAGCATTGGAGAAAGAAGTGTCCACTGAAACCGAGACACCTAGACTCCCTTCAGCTCTCCTCTGCTATCCAATCTTGCTTCTGTTGAGGAATTCTTGCCAGTCTGCCACTGCTGCCCTAACAATGATGTTGACTGGCATCCATTCTTTCTTGAATAACCATAAGCTTCTCGATTTCCACAACCACCATAGAATGTAGGTGGTTAACTGGATGCGAGCCACAGAAATTTCTTTCCTGTCCACTGAACAGACATCATCCCACCAAACTCTAAAATTAGTTGTTGTTTCTAAGCAAATTTTCCAAGTCACAGGGGCCAGCTGCCATACTTGCTTAGCAAAATCACAATGGAAAAATAAGTGCTCAACTGTCTCAACTCCATCTCCACATCTATGACAGATACTATCCACCTCAAGTCCTCTCTTTGCAAGATTCCCACTAACAGGCAAAGTGTTAGTAATGTTCTTCCACACAAAATGCTTCAGTTTGCTCTTGATATTCAACCTCCAACTTCTCAATCTTGTTATCCTGCTTTTGTTGGCTTGTCTACTCCCTTCAGCAATATCAAGGCTTAAATTCTAACTTGATTGATATAAATCGTTAGCGTAGTACACTCGATTGGGGGCCACGTAATCGTTTTGCTCCTTGTGAATTCTCGATTGGTCAACAATTGAAACTTGCCTTACTTTTAGGATCATATTATGCACTCATGTACGTGGTTTATTCTCTTGATATATGTCTTGATGATTTGATTTGAATGTAATATTGTTGAAATTTATGATGTATTATTCAACTTCTATTATAAAAAAGAAAAAGAAGAATCGCGGGATCAAAAAGATTAAACTCTAACTGTTTCGATCTTCTAAAGATCGTTATACAATATATATATATATATATATATAGGGAGTGGTTCAAATAAAAACTAGTCCTGGTGTGAGAACCGTGAGAACCGTATTTGATGCTAATTTTTTTTTGTGTATGATGCTATTTTTCATCATACATGGTGCTATCATTTTCACATATGCTAATATAAATTGTGTTGCTATTTTTAAAAAAATAGATCCATTTTAAAAATAGCACTAGAACAAATCAATCATAGCACTATATACAACTATAAATAGCGGTTCTCACGGTAGGACTTAGTTCTCATTTGAACCAAGTCCTATATATATATATATATGTGTGTGTGTGTGGATTGTAACAATGACTACGAAACATCGGTGTAGGAGACTCCGGGAAAAACCCCAGGGGGAACCAAGTTAATAATCATATGGAAGACCCACTTTGAAAAAATTGGCACGTAATATAAAATAAAAAAAAAGAGAAAAAAATAATGAATAAAGGGGTGGAATTTCATTATTTTCCATTCGCTTTATATCTTTTATTTAGCGTTTGTCCCTTCGTTTAATTGATGATCATAGTTGTGAGAACTTGGGAGTCAACACTCGTTAGCATCAGTAGTATTATAAAAAAAGGGTTTGTGACGAGTCGATCGAGTGTGGAATAGAGCTACATGTTTTTTTTTTAAGAAAAATGCTACAAGTACATAATAAATGTACATAGAGGTATACATAACACTCACATGAAATGGAGTCCACTTGATTTTTTATTTTTGGTGGGTCTCACTCAATGTGAGTGTTATGTACACCCCTATGTATAATATTATGTACCTATAACATTTCTTTTTTTTTAGTATGGCTCTAAGTTGTGAGGAATACATATTGGGGTTGGATTTCAACTATAGATATTTTGGAAAATATGAGATCACATGTTTTAGGACATCAAGATATAAGTGTATTATCTTCTCGAACAATTGACAATATTGTTTGCTTGTGGACAAGAAAATTACTTCTGTCCGCGGGTGTTGTATGGTTTATTTTTGTTGTTATTTCCATATTTTCGTGTTCTTTAGTTTTGCTCTTTTTTCTTAGGATTTTTGAGATCCATTTTTTTTTTAATTTTTATATTTTTGTGTTAGGGTTCAGAAACATGTAATTGACCAAATTCTATGGTAGAACATAATCGAGCAATTATACCAACCGTGTACTACATCAAGTCAAGATAGTAACTAACTTCTAGTGCTACAAGAAGATCAATCCACATGCTTAACTAAACGTTTTGCAAACACATTAGCCTAATTAGATTAATAATTACCAAAGATCCAACCTTTAAATAATCAATAGGGAAACGATAAGTTATATGACTCATATATTGACAAAGGAAGGAGGCAGGCTGATGCCTGCGAGTGGAGCGAGGGAAGCGGAGCGTCCGAGCGGAGTGAGTGGAACGAGGTACGGGGTATTTAAGTAAATTTATACCTAGTAGGGTTATAATATAAATATATGGTGTATTGATGTATTTGGATGATTGAGAATATAAAAGATCGCTCCGTCGTGGACGTAGGCACATTGCCGAACCACGTAAATCTTGTGTTGTTTATTTTCTCGTCTTTAATTCATATTGTCATCGTTTCACAACAGTTATAACATAATATTCAACCACAATATCACATATTTCTTCCCCTAAGGAGAATTCAGCCAAATGTATTCAAGAAATATCCAATGTTTACAAAAAGGACCTTCATAAATTGAAAAAAACAAGTGAAAATTGAGAAATTGAAAAACCTTCGAACCACAAATATCATCCAAGAGTAATACCAAACCAAAATGTTACAATATTTCTGGAGAAATAAAATAATAAAAAGTTGAGTTTTGAGCAACTTAGAGAGTGAAATAAAGAGAGGGAAATGAAAACTAAAAACTAGAGATAGAATAAAAGTATCCTGCTAAAATTATTAAGTACAAGTATATTTATACCCAACGTAGAATTAAACACAATAAACACGCACACACATTAATACTAAAAGAACACGCGGGTCGCGTGTTACTCACAACCCGGATAATGCTCACGACTCGCGTATTCGAAAAATTTCCGACAGCAGCCCGGTGGTTTTCCGGAGACTTTAAGAAAATTTTCGGAATGCATCTTCTTATAAAAT